GCCTTCAGTAGATCACTTCAGATTTTTTTGACCTGAGGTGTTATGCTGTCTGTTGTTTTGACTGATGGATAACTTCAGTATAGTAATGTAAGTAATGAGAATAACACAAATTTAGGTATTCGTGTTCAGAAAAATCAACAAGGTAATCTTATTGCTAGAGCATATTAGTAGGCTACTTAGTGTGTCATGTTAGAAGTTAAGTTTGTACAGAAAAGTAAAGAAAGAGTTGGAGTGAACTGGGGCCTGGGAAGAAGGGAAGGGGTGTGGGAAGGTGTTACAGTTTTTGTCTTCGTGTCTCACCATCCAACTCTATTTTAATTGGCAGTAAATTAAGTTAATTTTCCCCAAATCAAGTCTGTTTTGTCTGTGATGGTACCTCGTGATTTCCCTGTCTTTATCTCAACCCATGAGCTTTTTTCATCTGAAGTGTGAGAGTGGCTGGGTGGGCATCAGGCAGCCAGCTAAGGTCAGCCCACCAGAGTTATGAAGCTTTGAACTGACGGCAGGACAGTTTCAGTGTCTCATGGAAAAGTTCACAGCCATCGGTGGCTTTGTCTTGCCAGTGTACAGCTCTTCAGCATGACTAAATAAGCCTGTTACATTCATTAGTGACAGCAGGAACTAGCATCATCCACCTTGCTTCTGTATATCTCTTGTGTTCATGAGATGAAACAAGAGACAACTGTCTTACATACGAATGTAAATGTTTGCTGATCCAAAGTTTGAGATATGGGTTCTGGGTGCTCTGAAGCCCGAGTTCACTGCTTTCTACATGGGGTCGTGCCCATCACAGTCTGGCCAGGTCTGGAGGAGCATAGTTCCATTTCTGATGGTTTAGTACTGAGCAGTTAGACATTAAAATCTTGGAGAGTGGGAGAGACAACTGCAGTGTGGGATGGCGATGTACAGTTTCTGTCATCTTGTGCTTAGAAGAAATTACGGACGGGATTTAAGGGGTGTCTTTGGCAGTGTCTTGGGCCAGGAGGTTGGTTGTGACACCGGCTTATCTGTTATTAAAACTTTGCAGCATGATTCTCAAACATATAGAATGGTTTGGGTTGGAAGGGACCTTAGAGATCATCATTTCATAATGGTATAATTTATAATTAAATAAGTACTATGGGATGCTGGGGGGGGAGGGAAAGAACGACTAGGGAGTTGTACTAGTATTAGATAATAAGCTTTAGTTTTATTTTCTCTTCTTCTTGAAGATAACTTGATTAAAACTTGCAGAAGAAAGACATGACATTAGGAAAATGCCAGTTGTACTGGCAGGGATGCTGTACGGGAAATATAGGCCTTTTAGGAGGAGGGAGAGGCTTGTTATTAGACTGATTGCCATAACTTCTCAGAAGAGCTTGTAAGCCTGAGAGCTTATCAGTCTTCTGTAACAACTGCTCTAATAGCAGTTGCCCATCCAGACCTGGGTATGATTTGTGTTTTTAATTAATCTTTCAAGGGAATAAATGCCCAGAAGTGATTGGTGAAAGACTCTAAAGGATGGCACCAAGAATGATCTCTTTTAAGATGAGCTAGTTTATTGATCCAAGAGAACAGATGTTTTGGTAAGGTCATGCAGTGTTTGGCTTTATTACCTGCCCAGTTTAGGACATATATCAGATATGTGTTTTACCTAGGTGGGTGACTGGAGTCCAGTAGGTGGATAGGAGTGAGAGGTAGGAGAATAGGGAAGAAAGACCTGTCAGGTCGCCTTCACCTGGGCAATTTTGGGAGCTGGAAGTTAGCTGCCTCAGTCAGTGAAGACGGTTGAGTGAGCCAGGAGGGGATTGTGGCCTGAAAAACACGTTGGTGCAATACATCATATTGCCAGTCTCTGCTGGTGGGTCTTCTGAGTGTCATCAGTTAATGTGGGATGCTGGAGCATCCTGGCCTCACTCAGGTGTGGATGCTCCATCTGCGTGGCTGATTAGAGAGGCTCCCAGAGGAGCTCAATTCACTCCGCCAGCCCCATAGGGATGCTTTAGGTGACTGCCCATTGTATGCACACCTCAGAGACTGCATCCTATTTGCTGAATGGCTTTGGACATACTGTAGCACAAATGCTGGATATGGCAGGAGAGCACAGTTTGGAAATATTAGCTCTCTGGGCAAATACTGGGCTAAACATGTAGTCCATGTATATAGCACACAGACTGGATATGTCTACTCAGCTATTACCAGGCAGTGGCCCCCCAGGATGTGTCACACAATGTTCTTCCAGTTACCGATGCAGAAGGGATCAAATAGTTTGGAAACAATCTACTTCTGTGATTATTGCTACTCTGAATTATAAATAACCCAAAAGCCAGAGCTATTCACTGCATTCAGTCTTCAGATGAGCACTCAGAACAGAGTGCTGCTTTTAAGAAATATGGTTTTAGAGAACAAAAGGGGAAGCAAGCACTGTGAAAATTTAGTTAAATGTAAATGTGTTAAATGGTACATGAACTAGTCAGGTTTTCATGATTTATCAGTTTTAAACTTCAAAGGCTCTGGTTAGCTTGCATTTTTAAAACTAATGAGTTTATCACAGCCAGTGGGGAAAAATGGTTCAAGTATATCAGCTGTAAATTGGTACAAAGCACTAAAAGGGACATTAGCCTCTAATCAGATTCTAACAGTTCATTAAACCTGCCTTTCCTCCGTGGTGCTTTGTCTTCCCCCCTCCTTCTGCTTGCGCCTCCTGCACAAGCCAGGCTGGTCCCTTCATTCAGGCGGGTAAGACCTCCTCAGGGACACGAACCGATATCAGCTCATCCTTCTTTGTCTAGGAGCTAAACAGCCTAAGGGATGCTTGATGATGGTATGTTCCTGATCTTGCTGTAAAACTCAACTGTGCTGTGTATAAATCAACAAAGGGAGAGGGACCTCTCTGCTTGCAGAATAGACACTGGGGAACCAGGAATGACGGGCTGGCTTCTGCTCTTGCTCCACCCCAAACCACATCCAAAGTGCTGGAGCTCAGTGACAGCCAAGGAGGGCCACTTCTGATAAATAAACAGTGCACCGCACTTGCTGGGAAGAGGGATATAAACCATGGAACAATTCCAGCCGGCTTTTCTGTGGCATTGGAGCCCTTCCCGTTCTTTCCCCACCCTCATGCCTCGAACACTGAATGAAGGCCAAGGTGCAAAAAATAAGTTGCAAAGAGGACATAGGAAGAGCTTGTTGCTTTTTCCCCCACTTTTTTCTTATCTTTCTTTCTGTTGTGTCAAGCTTAAATCACAGTAGATACACAGGGGTAGCATAGCATGGACCAGGATATTTAAAAAACTTGCCTTGTCTTCATTCACGCATGTTTGAAAGTGGAGGCTTTCTGCTAAAAATTACTTGTTTGATCTGAAAGTTTATAATTTAAGCATTTAGAGCTTTTAATGAACTATTTAAATCAACTTTTTAAGGAAAAAATAGAGATTACATTTGCATTTGCTGTTGCATTTGCTTATCTGCATTGCCATCAAGTTCCTACCTGCCCTGTGGTATCAAACTGTGACTCAGTGTGCTGTAACACATGGGTTCAAAGTGAGGGCGATGGGGATTTTAACCAGGTCATTTGCTCTGTGGAGCATGGGCATATCAGTTTTCGTGCCTTGGCATGCTATTTAAGTTACAGTAAAGCAAAGGAGTATACGAAAATAAGCAGTTGCTGCAGTACTTGAAACCCCGAAAATGGAGATCATGGGAGAAGGTGCATTCATTGGGGGGGGGGGGGGGGGGGGGAGTTTCATGTAATTGAAGTTTTTAAAACATATTTTGGAAGCTCCATTAGGACAGACCATTTTTCTTAAAATTCCCCTGAAGCAACCATGAGAAGAAACAGGGCTATGAACATATTCTTTATGAATAACAGCACCATGCAGCACTGAACAGGTCCGCTGCCTATGGAACACAGGGAAAATGTGTTCCCATTACAGTGCGGTTATTGAGGACTACAAGGTAATAGTTAGAGTGGAGATGAGTTTCCAGCCCTGAGTGCTGCCTTCCAGACAGCACTGCAGATAAATGCTGTGAGTGAGTCACATACGATATGTGCTGTAGTTTTTCTGTTTGAAAAATAGCTGCAGTGTCTTTGGATTTCTGTACCGCTGACCAAGGTGTCTGGATTTGTAAGGTCAGACTCTAGCTTAAGGGATTGTCTCCCTGTTGTCCAAACTAAATGGCAGATGAAGGGGTTAGCTTTCAGAGACCAGCCTTGAGCCTTGACTGGAATAGTATATTGACTGAGGTTGAGGTAGTGTTTGAACTGAAGGCATAGAAGGTTGTTTTGCGTGTCTCCATAAACTACTCCAGCAATAGCGGGATGAGATGTTCGTCATGGGGATATTGATTCAGAGAAGTACAGTTCTGCTTGTCTCTTCAGATTGAAACTTTTACCCTATACTTCCCATTACTACAAGGACAATGCATGTTTTTAACACGCTTTTTTATTTCTTTTGTGTCAGAGGTGTTTGGAGATTTTCACTGACAAATGGTGATAACTTCACAAGACAGTGATAGAGGTCTGAAGAGTTGTAGATGCCTGTTAATTCATGGTGTGCGTGTGTGCAAAAGCCTTCACTATAACTTCTCTGAATTCAAGCGTATGCTTTCTCTAGGTATTACAGAAGTACAAATATTTTGACTGAAAACAAATATACCCAAGTACACTGCCAAAAATCTGAAGCTATTTCACAACACTCCTTTCCTTTCCAGTTCTAAAGTGAGGAATTTGTATACATGCACCTGCATGATTAATTTCAAATTAAAAATATAGTAATTGGAGATTATTTTTCCCTTGTTGCTTAAAAAGATTTCATTCTCTTTTAAGGATAACTGAAACTATGATTTGCTATTTTAAGAGAAGTAGTCACTTGACTGTTACTCCTTGAAATAAATATTACATCGGTAACTTCATTTCCGTTAAAAGAAACTTATTTCTGCAATATCATAGAACTAAACCAGTGAATTAAACCAAGTGTTTTCATCACTTTTTTGATTAACCTTGTCCTTTTTTGCCTTAGGACATCAGCGCCTTTGAGAACAGAATGTTAATGCTTGATGGGATGCCGGCAGTCAGAGTCAAAACAGAGCTGCTGGAATCTGAGCAAGGGGTAAGCAGAGGTTTCCGTGCAGCGTCACTGTAGCACGCTGGTGGCTCTTCCTGAGTTTCTCTGTGCTTAGATGTCCGTCCTGTTGTACTGTCTGGTTTTTTTTTTTCCTATGTTTCTCTTCATTTCTACTCTTTTGGAGCACATTTTCTTGGGAGATGTACTGGTGAGCATCTAGTCTCATCTGCTGGGAGCACAAACCAAAACTCTGTATAAGACTTACTGAAGTTATCTGAGATAGCCAAGATGCTGCTGGTGTAATTTCCTGATTATTAAAAAAGGGGCAGTTTGAAAAATCAGGAAGGAATAATGGATTATGAAGAAGCAAAATTCATACGTCTGAGAAGCCCATACATGTCTTTGCTATTCTTCTTCCTTGGGATATTTACTGTGGTTGCTTCATCCTTTATATACTTGTCCTGCTTCATTTTCTGTTTGTGTAAACCTTCCCTCTTTCTGGTGGAATACGCTGGTTTGTCGTTATAATAAGAGGGCTATAAGTTTCAGATGGTTAAAGCTGGTATCATATTGACTGCTGAATACAGGACAGAGATCATGAATAGGGTTTTGAATTTTTTTCAGAACAAGTGTTCGTCATTGGAGTGGTAGATATGTTTTGAGACACGTTAAGGGTATTTTCTTACATATGTGGTAGTAATTGTGCATTAATATGAGGGCATCTGTATTTAATGGATTTTATGTTATCATGAATCTTTGTTTCTTTGTGTGCATCTTATGTTATCACAAAGAATCCAAGCCACTTTACTACTCTGAAGACGGACGTCTTCAACAAACAGAGAGCATAATAGAGGCAGCAGTGCTATTGCCATGTAGGGAATGGGCTTTTGCCTCCTTCTCTTGGCTTTTTTTTTCCTTCCTGCTATTTTCTCAATTATTTAATTGAGAATTTAAATGGTATGGAAGAGAGGGAATTAGCTTTCAGGATGACTTAATTTGAAAGAGTTCCAAGGAGATACCAGTTATTCAGGATGGGTTTGAGGCTTTAAGTTTGAGAGAGGAAGAAGAAGCATTTAATGATTCTTGCTCATCTATCTTTATGCCTTCTTGGGAGCAAGTACCCTCAGAAAATGCTCCAATACAGCATAATTTAAGGCAACATAAAGTATGGATTATTGTATGAGCCGTGATGATGAAAAGACAGATGCATTAAAGGTAATTTTTAGTACCTTATAGATGCTTTGCATTATATCTTCTGTATATAACATAAACCTTTCTCTGTATTGTTCAGAAGACAAAGTTTTATTGGTATTTGCTTTTGTGTCGCTTAAAATAAAGTCCATGCATATTACTGGGTCCTTTATGAAGATTACTTCCTTTAGCAAAGTGTGATTTGATTCTGGAAGACCTATTTGGTGTCTGAGGAACTGGAAGGAAATGAACAATTTATATAGTTTTTAATTTCCTTAGGGTTTTTTTAATAAAATTTTATGGACTTTTCTGTAAGCTGAAAATGATATCATCATTTTCTTTTCCAGTGACTGAGCCGTTGGACAACGAGTTTGCTTAGATTTGGGATTTTATATGCTTTGGTACTAATTAAGTAGTGTCTGGTCAAGAGTCTCTGGCACCTTTATGACTCTTCATTAGGGAACAATCAATAAATACAAAATGAATTCTCCAGTTCACTAACAGAGGAGCTAGCCATTAGCGTGGCAATTTTCCATTGAACAGCTTAAAACTCTAAAGAAAAAGGTGGTTGAAACAGATGTTTAGCATGTGCTTCAGAGACTGTTTTGAATATGTAGGTATTGGTAGACATAACAGGGACAAATGTTTGAAGGATGTGATTACCGAAAGCAGCATGTGGAGCTGTTAGGGAAGATGAGTATCATAACTGGGAATCATGGAATGGTAACTAAAGTGCGATCCAAGTAGTATGAATTTGAAATTGCGATGTCTGTGCTGTTCTAGTGCCCGAAGTCCCTTGTGTTGCACCTCCATCACAGCGTATGGGTATACAGGGAGACGTGATGTCTGATTTGAAAATTTGTAAACTAAGATGGCATTTTGAATCTTCTGAAAGTAGTGGCCAAAGCTGCTTATGGCACTAAGGCACCTAACTTAGGTGCACCGAACACTAGACAAGACTAGTCAAACTTGTTCGAAACCTGTAGGAAGACAGCTGGGTTTTTTGCTGTTCATGCTTGGTATCTGCTATTGGCTCTAGGTTTGCTGCTAGGGCAGAAGTGAGACATGGCTTAAGGGTCGTGAAAAGAAAGTTTAATGTGTGGTTATGGGATCCTGAAGGCTATATGAGTTGTGGAGGAGTGAAACCAACAGAGCCTGGAGCACCAGTGGCCTTCAACCAGGGTGGCAAGAGCTGAGTGATGAGACTGAGTGATGAGAGCACTGAGTGATGAGAGCACATAATTTCCATGTTCGGTGTGTCAGCTTCTCCAACTGCAAACCAGTTCAGTCTTTAGCTGAGGCCAAGAGGAAGCTGGAGCTGACATCTGTGTTTCAGCAGTGGCTCATGCACCAGTTCCTTTGAGCCTGTGACTAGAGGAGAGGTGGGCAGGACTCAGGAGCTACAGCCTGCATTGATGTAGTGTAGACAAACCCTTACCAACCCAGGTTCAAAAGACTCTGTGTTTAAACTAAGCGATTGTGGGAGGATGGGATTTAGGCAAGCCCATAAGGGAGATGTGCCTTATGAGATAGAGGTTACTAGGCAGATTTGGAACAAAGAAATATTTACAAGAGAAACGATTTTCACTTTGCTTTGGAAAAAGTTAAACCAGTTCTGCTTCGTTTTATCGTCGCCAATTTAGAATAGTTTAATGATTTTCAGAAGGCCATCAGCATTAGCAAGAACAGATGCTTGTTTTTCCAGTGAACTACTGTCCTTAATTTTGCACAGGAGATTTAATGCAGACTATTGTTTGAGGCTTCAAGAAGATGCAGTGCTGCTTTAATGACTTTATCACAAATGAATAAAAGACACTACGTAAAAGATACCGCATTGCCCTTTAACAAGGCTTCGTTATTATCTCCCCTACTGTGAAACAGGAGCTAGCATTGCTAATAAATTGGTGGAATTACTTTAGAAATGTGAATTTGCTGATCATTTAATATCCTCGAGTGACCTACAGCTTTAGATCTTTCGGTCTGCAGTAGAATCTTTGTGTGCCAGTAACCAGCTTCAGAGGATGTGAAGAAGGTGGTCGCTCCCCATGCAGGTGAAGGTGGCTAGGAAAAAAATATGCATTCTTTGGCTTGCCAAAAACTATTTTGAAAAGTAATATTCCTCTGTAAAAATGTAGGGAGGCTGTTTTAAATTAAATAGTAATACAGACTGGGCAGTGCATTTGTTGGCTGGTGCTACTATCAAAAAGTTAGATTGGATAGAGCTGACTGGCTTTACTGTGAAGTCTATGAAAGTCTTACTGGTCATTGCAGGATGTGGCCCAGTTCTAAAAATTGGTACATGTTTGAGAATTTACACTTTCTTTGTTGAGAAGTTACACTTTCTTAAGTATTTTCAGAGTCAGACCATAAGCTTTTGTTAAAAGGAGATATGAATGTGGGGCTTATGTCACACAATTAATCTTTAACTACAGAGAATAATGAATCTCTAATTTTCATCAGCCTTTTTGTTTCCAGATCTGCAATCTCATCCATTCCTCTGCCTGCATTATTTCAAATCATTATTTGAAGATTATATATTTTACTCTGAATTCACCTCCTAATTCTGCTTGATCCATCTCCATTCCCATGCCTTATCAGGGCTGAATTATGAAAGGAATGACTAAAATGACAAAACCATTTAACAAGCCAATAGTGTTCTCTCTGTCTTGTCTCCAGCCGAATTGTCTTGTTGTCACGTCTGAAGAATGCGATCCATGTTTATGTTATTACATACATAAACATGGTCTACCTCAGCCTGAGTAATAGTGACAGAAATTTGTTTTAGTGGAGAATAGTCTCAGTATCATAGCTTGCTTCTTGACTATACAATTGTTTTGTGTTGATTCATGCAGCTTATGTACACTGTATAATTAGAAGAAAAAGGACTTGTAGTATTTGCTGTTGTAATTTATGAATCTCTCAAATAATTGGTTTTGGTTTTTTTTTCAAATTACTCGGTGTTTAGCACCATGGATTTGCAGAAACAGCTGGCACATAGCCTGCATCTATCAATCTCTTCTGATCAGAAACTGGCCTTTGTTTCTGTTGGTTTTCTTCATCTGGCAAGTGATACCTGAAGAGTGTTACTGAGGTGTTAGAAATACAGCTGATACAATTCATTAGTTGCTTTACAGTGCCATAAATATATGATATTCTTCAGAAGGAGATCAAGGTCTGATCCCAAAAACTAGTGAGGACATAGAGATGTGGTGGATGCACCATCCCTGGACACATTCAAGACCAGGCTGGATGTGGTTCTGGGCAACCTGGTCTAGTTGAAGATGTCCCTGCTCCTTGCAGGCGTGTTGGATTAGATGACCTTTGAAGTCCCTTCCAACCCAAACTGTTCTGTGATTCTATGATTCTGTAACCTACAGGGCATGATGCAAAGCCATGTGGGATGTACCTAAGGAGATACAGCTATATTCCCCAAGTACTGCTGGAGGGTATGTTTGCAACCCAGAAGGGTGCAAGACACGGCTCAAGGGCGCTCCTCAGCTACAACAGTTGGATTGATTGAAGCCAGGTGAAGCACCACAAGCTAATAAATAACTCTGGGTGCTTTGTCATGTGAAGTGGAAGCTCTCATGAAGGAATAAAATAGCTAACTCCAACAACTTTCATCACAACCTAGCATTCCTGATCCATTGCCAGTGACTGAATGACATCAGGCACCCCACTTGGAGTATTGTGTACAGTTCTGGTGTCCTTAACATAAAAAGGACATGGAGCTGTTGGAGCAAGTCCAGAGGAAGGCCATGAGGATGATGAGGGGGCTGGAGCACCTCCTGTATGAAGACAGGCTGAGAAAGTTGGAGCTGCTCAGCCTGGAGAAGAGAAGGCTGCGTGGAGAC